TACATGTTTGCAGTATATAATTGTTACATCCCTCGTGGGGAATTGGTATGTGTATGTAGCGTAGTTTTTTAAGACAATTTTTTTTTTTTTTTTGGAGGGTGCTTCTTTTTGAGACAGATCCCGCTGTGCAGTTCAGCCTGGCTTTGAACTCACTTCGTAGCGCAGGCTGGCTTTTCAGACTCCCAGCGATCCCTGCCTCTGACCCCACATGCTGCCATCACAGGCGTGCATCACCTTGCCTGGCTAACAAGCTCCCATAAGGAGGAAAAAAATATACCTTTGATCCATTTGCTCAGTGTATTTTTTAACAGCTTTTGGGGATACGATTTGCATATGGTATAATGCACCTGTGGACGTTGTACAACTAAAAGGTTTTGCTGTGTTCCTGGGCTGAACCACGTCACCCCCATCCACTGCCGCACACTCTCCTCAGCCCCAGGAGAAACCTATGCCCCCTTGTCGCCACTCCCGCCCTCCTGGCCTGCTGGCCTGCTGGCCTCTGCTGTCTGTTCGCGGTTCTGCCTGATCCCCCTGTCTGACGGGAGCAGGACTATAGCTGTACCATGGGCCTTTTTGACGGCTTCTTTCACTTCAGTATCACTGAACAGTGTTTCTGTGTTGAAGTTTGCATTGGTTTCTTCATGTCTTTTTCTGGGTGAACGATAATCTGTTGCGTGGGTGTCCGGCAGCCTGCTTGTCCTCTGATAAGCAGCTAGTGCTCGGTTGGCGGCGGCTGCTGCTGCGGCTGTGGGCGTGTGAGCTCTGGGGGAGGCAGCTTGCAGTCCTCCTGGTAGCTGCTTGGAAGCAGCGCTGCGAGGTCAGGGCTTAGCTCTGCCTCACCCGGAGGGACTGCCAGGCTGTTCTCAGAGTGACTGCCTCCCAGCGGGGCGAGAGGCTCCGCTTTCTCCACGCCGTCAGCGCTTACTGAGGTCTAGTCCTTTTTTCGTTTGATCCTACCTATTCTAGTGGACCAGAAATGGTACCTAGTTGTGTTTGGATCTCTTTCACTGACCCATGACAGTTTCATGTACTCAGTGGCCTATTGCACCTCTGTTTCCAGAAATACCCATCCAGCTCTTCTTTGCATTCTGGATTCCTTCTGTGTGTGGCGCGGTAGAGTCCTAGAGCTTTGCTGGATGGGAGGGTGACTGTGTCTGTGGGTTTCCACCTCACGCCTGATGCCACGCCGTGTGCCTAGGTGGTGACGGGGTCGGGGCGCCAGGACACCCAGAAGACGGACGCAGAGTACCGGAAGCTCTTTGACCTGGCACTGCAGGGCCTGCAGCTGCTGTCACAGTGGAGCGCGCATGTGATGGAGGTGGTAGGTGCTGCCGCCCAGGTGTGCCGGGAACGCAGGTGCCACGCACCCAGCCACACGCCCAGCCACGCCTGGAGGCGTGCGCATCGAGGCCGTGGCAGAACGACATGCTTTCTTGTTTTAAGGCCTCATCTTTTAAACAGTGATAGAACTAAATTTGTGCCATTGTGATAGTCTTTAGCTCTCAATTTTATTTATTTTTTAATTCTTGTCAAAGCAGCAGCTCCAGCTGTCAGTCTCTTTTAACGTTAGTGAAATTGTTCCTGGTCTGTCTACAGATTTGAATAGTTATTCCCTTGGGGTTTATTTTGGGCAGAGAAAAAATTAGCTAATGGGAAAATCATATGAGCATTTGAGAGGCAAATTCTTTTTTAAATGGTGGTGGGCTGTGTGGGGTCTTAGATATTCAGTACCTCATAGCCCGGTGTTGTGCCTCAACCTGAGATTAGATGGCCGGTGTCTGCCCGGGCAGTGGGCACTGGGCGTGTGGGGCTTTGTGAAGGCCACCTGTTTGCGGCCTGGGCCGTGGTTTGCACATCAGACCAGACCTGGGTCTGGTCCTCAGGGCTTCCTCTCTCTGTGTCCTCACCAGTACTCCTGGAAGCTGGTGCACCCGACTGACAAGTACTCCAACAAGGACTGCCCTGACAACGCCGAGGAGTACGAGCGTGCCACCCGCTACAACTACACCAGCGAGGAGAAGTTCGCTCTGGTCGAGGTGAGGGCTTCGTCTGCTTCCCCTGGCTCCTGTGACTCTGGCCTCGCTCCTGATTTTCTTTGCAAAAGCAAAGGAAAAACCATGAACAAACTTCCTCTTTTGTGCCACTGTCTGCACGTGCGCAGCCGCCTGAGTCCGGCACAGCAGTCTAGGCAGAAGACAGGCACAGGAGGAAGTGTTCCTGGTCCGCGCCGACATCCCGCGCAGGTCCCAGAGCTGTCTTTCTTGGGTCTGGGGACACGGTGTGTGTGCGTGTTCCATCCTGACGGGGAGACACACACCAGGCTGTGCTGCTCACCCTCACGAGCGCTGCCTTCGGCGTGTGCGTCCGCACTGACCGTCCCTCCTCCTGGGCCTTTGAGGGACAGAAGCCCTCGATTCCGTGTCAGCCGGTTGCTTTTGTTATGTTTGGACGCCTGTGCAGTCCCTAAGGTCCTGCAGCCCCTAAGGTCGTGTAGGTATTATCCTGTATCATCTTCAGGGTATTTTTCTGTCGTGCCTTTCCTGCTGACATCTGAAGCTCACTGGAAGCTGACTTCGACGGCTCGCTGCCCTCCTCCCCGTGCGTGCGATGGCTTTAGGGTCACGTGTGGCAAAGCGCGTGTTTCTGCTGACTTGGAGTCCCTCAGCTGGTCCTCGTGGCGCACCCTGCAGTCCCAGCGTTGGAAGGCTGAGGCAGGGCTAACTGGCTACATGATGAGCTCAAGGCCAGCCTGAACTACAGAGTGAGGCCCTGTCTCAAAAAGCCAAAAAGTAAGAAAAGGAAGAAGGAAGGAAAGACTAAAAAGAAACAGCTGCTTGCCTGTTCTTGTCCTGTGTATTTTCATCAGCAGTTTAGCATCGGACTTTGACATTCCACAGTGAAACCTGCTGAAAGTTTTTTATTTATTTAGTGTGTGTGTGTGTGTGGCCAGCTCAGCCCACCAGGGGGCGGGGCTGGCTGGCATGTGGTGCTGGAGGATTGAACCGCGGTCCCTGAGCTTTGCTAAGCTTGTTGTAAGTAGGTGCTTTAGACCACTGAGCCATCTCACCAGACCCCTGCTGAAAGTTTTCATCGGGATCTAACTAAACCTGTGGGTCTTTTTTAGAGACCATTAGCAAACTTGTGCACGTTAATTTGATTGCACACTTTGCGTCCGTCCTCACGCTTGGGCCTCATAACAGCTCGTGGCTGGCTTCCTCCTGGTGCGTGGCAGAGTCTGTGGAGGGAGGTCTGTGGCTCGCGTCCTGGGGTGTTTGCTGCCCCCCACTGCTGCTGCTTCTCTCCGGTGTATTAGAATGCTTTTTTAAGCATTTTTTCACTAGGTAGTAGAATATTTATCTTTTTAACTTCTTACATCTGTTTTGCTAATTTATATTTTTAAGGAGTTTGTCTGCATTTTCTAATTTTTTAACCCGAAGGTTTTCGTAGTACATTCTCACCCTGTTTTGTAAGTGTGTGCACACGCACACCCGCGCACCCGCCGCATACCATCTCCCTGACCTGTTCAGCGTGCAGAATCCAGTGCTTTGGTATATTTGGAGTTGTGTACTGAAACACCCACCTGCACCTCGCTTGTCGCCGCTCAGGGTAGCCACCGCTCTGCCTTCTGATTGCGACTTGGCCTGTCCAGGGAGTAGCAGGCCGCACAGCCCGTGGCCCTCAGTGGTCAGCAGCTGTCACGGTGTGCGAAGGTCCCAGGGTCACACAGCATGGGTATTTCCTTTCTTGGGGCGCTGGTGCAGCCTACCTGCCATGCCAGGGACTGAACCGCCACGCCCTGTGCCTGCCTAAGCAGGCGCTTTAGACCGTTGAACTATCTCGCCGGCCCAAGAACGGGTGTTTTCTCCCTTTCGCTGCTCAGTGTCCAGTACCACATTTATTTATCCTTCAGAGGATGAGCATTTGGGTTGTTTCTGTGTTTTATTATTGTGAACAACAGTGATGCCATGAAATTTTAGACACAGGCTTTTCTGCAGATACAGCTGTTTATTTCTGTGGTTGCACCCTTAGAAGTAGACTTGCTGACTCATGCGGCAGCATCTTAAGAGTCTGCCTGGGAGTCTTCAAAGCAGCAGCACCGTTTCACCTTGTTTTTTCCCTTTCTTTTCCTTTCTCAGTTTTCCTTTTCTGTGGTACCGAGGGCCCCCTCCCAGGCTGCACCCCAGAGCCCCATTTCAAGCGGGCTTCCTTCTTTCTTTTTCTTTTTCTTTTTTTTTCGAGACAGGGTCTGGCTACCCAGTTTGGGCTGGGCCTGTGCTCTCTTTTGTAGTCCCCCAGGCTAGTCGTGAGCTAGCAGCAATCCTCCTGTCTCAGCCTCCCTGGCGCTGGGATTACAGGCGTATGCCACCACGCATGGTTCCGGGGCCGGCACAGCATGCAGGACTGGGGATCAGACTCGGGCCTTGCGCTTGCCAGGCAGGTTCTTCTGTGTCCGAGCTCGCTCCCCAGTCCTGCGATATAGTACTTCCTTCCACACAGGTTCCTTATGCCATTTGTGCTGTCTGCCGACCTGTTATTGACCCCAGTCAACTTAGAGTTCTCTGCTTTACGTTGTCCGGCAGCTGTTGGAGCCACTCTTCTGTGGCCCGCTATTTCTAAGTTGTCCCTGATTACAGGGCCACTGGCATGACCTGCTCTTCCAGCCACGAGGCTGTCTTCACGCTGGTCACCTCTGTTACCTGTGCTTCCAGCAGAATATTTTATCTCCTGAATTCCTATTTGCTGTCTTTTCATGAACTCCAGTTCATCACTCAGGTGCTAATTCACGTTCTGTTTTGTTGTAGTTCAGCTGTCTTTTTATTAGTGTCTTCTATAAAGCGACCAGTTTGTTTATTTAGTCTGTTACCTTTCGTTAAATCTCCTTTGAACTTGCTCAACACGTGAATCTGTTTCTTTTTTCATCTCTTCTTTATCATTTTGAACAACAGCTGTGGCTTTTGGTCTCCTCTCCATCGATGCCCCATGGATCAGATGTGGGGGCGCTTGGAGTTCTTGGAGTTTGTCTTTTTGCTTGTGTTCTTGTGTTTCGTGTTCTTCGGCGTGCGTCACAGTGTGGGGTCAGCTGTATTGGAAGGACTTTGCTGCTGGTGTGCAGATCTCTGGAGTGCGTGTCTGTTTCTGTGGTTACTCTGGGTGTGGCTGATTCCACAGTGGAGCCAGCCATTGATTCAAGAGGTGAGGTGCCGTGTAAGTGGCCCAGCGCTCAGGTCTGCAGAAGGGAGCCACAGTATTACTGGTGACACAAAGAGTTGTTCTGGCGCCTGCTAAACACCACCGGTGAGCCCTGGAGCCGCCGTGCTGGTCGCTTCCGCTCCCTGGTCTTGGGTCCGGGCTGCAGCGGTGCAGTGGCCCCCCGCCCCCCAGCGTCTGCAGCCTGTGCTGAGCCTGTTCACTGCGGACTCCCGGCCCGATCCACGAGGCGTGAGGCCGGCCCGCTAGCTGGCGGGCTGCTTGTGCGCTGAGCAGCTTCCGTGTTTGTGACTCACTCTCAAATACATGCCTGTGTGTTCTGCTAGGTCTTTTTTTTTTTTCTTTTAGATATTTCTTCTACATTTGGGGTGTATATTTTGGTGTTCTTTTTGTAAATGCATGATGAAAATTAGATGATTTTTCTCAGTCCTTCGTTTTCTTTTTTCTTGTGTATGCATCTAAGGCTCTAAATTTACCTTCAGTGTGTCATTCTTTGCTTTCCATAAATTTGAACATGGAGCATTTTCATCTTCACTCAAATGGTTTTCCCCATTTGCTTTTGTAAAACAGAAATTCCTTTACATTTTGTTCTTTTTTGGTGAGATAGGTAGCATGAAATCATATTTTGGTGTTCTTTTGGAAGAACACACTGAAAGCCTCACGTAGCCGGACGTGGTCACACGTGTAGCTGGATGTGGTCACACGTGCGTGATCTCAGCTCTCTGGGTACCAAGTGGGGGGTTCCAAGCTCGAGCCCAACCGGGGCAATTTAGCAACTTAATACCCTTTCTCAAAATTAACAAAGAAAAAACTAGACAGGAGGGTGTAGTTCAGTGTAAAAGCTTGAATTCTTTGGATAGTGAGTTTATGCTGGTACAAAAAATAGTATTTACAAAGGATTCTGATGAATCAACCTCTTGTTTAGGAGTTTCCTAAAGAAGAAAGCCAAGCCTTTCCCTCGCGCTTCTGAGGTGAATGTCTCACTATGGACGTGGCTGCCCATGTGGAAAGATTTATCATCTTTCAAGGCCCGATAGCAGCCCAAAACTCTCTCAAAAAGGAAAGCCATGGGCCTAGGGATATAGCTCAGCGGCGTAAGCGGCTGCCTGCCAAATGCAAAGTCCTAAGTTCAATCCTTGGTACTGCCAAAAATAACAATAAATAAAATTAAAAATAATTTCAAAAAAAAAATCATCCTTATTCCGTTAGGGGGCCTGGCCCAGCTCAGTTCTTTAAGGGGCTGCTTCCACAAAGCTGTCAGCCTCAGGTGGTTGTAGTTCGATCCCCACAACCCTGCAGCCAGCCAAAAGTGCCCTGAAGGCATTCGAGGAGCAAAAAAAAAAAATCCTCAAAAGGAAAGCCACCCTGCACAGGGAGGGTCGTCTTCGCAGCTGCACTGCACAGGAGAAGGAGTCGTTCTGCAAACCTAAGGGCTCCATTCTGCATGCCGCCAGTAGGCAGCACGGAGGAAGAACCCAGAGCAGCTGGGGAACGCACAGCCCCAGCAGCGCTGGCGCGGGTTGGCTCGGCCCTCCGCCCTCTCCCAGGCCCTTGCCTCGGTGTTGGTTCAGTGTGCCGTCCTGTGTCTCCTTTTTTGTTTTCCAGCTATTATCATAGTTGCTTTCTTGAATCTTTGTTGGTGTTTTGGTGGTACTGGGGGTTGAACCCAGGTCCTCCACATTGAGCTACATCCCCAGCCCTTTTCATTTTGAGACAGGGGCTCAGTAAGTAAGTAGGTTGCCCAGGCTGGATCACTCTTTGATCTTCCTGCCCCAGCCTCCCAGAGTGCTAGAAGAAAAGAAAAGTTTGTTTCTTTTTTCTGCTTCTGGAGTCCTTCTGGGGCGTGTGCCAGTGGATAAGGGGATGTGTGCATCCCAGTGTATGGGTGCAAGGTGCGCCTGGAGCAGTGCTGAGCCCTTGCTCTGAGAAGAATGGTACCAGGGGCCAGCGTGTCGCGGGAAGGAGGGAGGCTGTGGGAGGGCCAGGGACAGCCCTGTCGCCTGCACCGCTGAACACCCCGTCCCTGCAGGTGATCGCCATGATCAAAGGCCTGCAGGTGCTGATGGGGAGGATGGAGAGTGTGTTCAACCACGCCATCCGGCACACCGTCTACGCCGCCCTGCAGGACTTCTCCCAGGTGACCCTCCGGGAGCCGCTGCGCCAAGCTATCAGGAAGAAGAAGAACGTCATCCAGAGGTCAGCCTCCCGCCCACCCGTACCGCCTGCTGCCTCTGCCAGAGGCCTGAGGTCATGGTGCACACCGTGGGACAGTTGTGCTGTACACACTGGTTCAGTGGGCCACTGACAACCCAAGCTCACCTTTGGTGGATTGCAGTCACACTTGGTGTTGAGTCCAGTCGGTGGCCTAGTAGCTGGCGCTGAGGGGGACAGCCGACCGCTGCGCTCTGAACACCTGACCTCCAAGGCCCCGGGGCCCTGCGCTCCACCCCTCACAAATATAGGATGTTAGCCCTTATTCTTCTGGCCTGTAATAAAACCTTTAAGACATGACACAGAGCCAGATGTGGGGATGCGGGTTTATAATCCTAGCTACTCACGTGGCTGAGGCCAGCGGATTGAAGCATCCGGGCCAGTGTGCGAAAAACAAAGAGCCAACCCCAATGTGGGCTGTGCAGAGAGGGGTCCCTCTGACTTGGGCCTCTCTTGATGTAAGCCTTTTGGAGGAGGTCATCTCTAGGGACATGGGTGTAGAAGGCCAGGTTGGTGGCCACATAGGCTTCACTTACAGTCAGCACCCAGCAGGGTAAAGTTGCCAGCAGTAACAAAGTTTTATGTAGGTTCAGCGCGCTAATCCACAGCTCCCAACATCAGAAGTGCTACCAGAGCCAAAGCTCTGAGCGCTGGGGTGACACCACAGGACCAGGCACCTGAGGACCAGAGGTACCCTGCTGGTCCTGGTCACCCTGTGGGAAAGCTCTGGATAAATCTCAAGGAACTAACTCCTAGGCCACACATTCCACACACTCGATGCCTGGGGCCTGCTCTCTGTTGAGGCCCAGTTTCCTCTATACTTGGCTGTCTCGATCGGACCCCAATCGAAGACCGTCCCCAGGCCGACCACACTGCTCAGGGCAGCGTCTCTGTCTGCACTGTCCAAGTCTCAGCTGCTGAGCCGAAGCAGGACACCAGGAGTGCACCTCAGCTGAGCCCTCCAGTGTCAGAGCAACCCAAGCGAGCGTCCCTTATCTGAAAAGCTTGGGACCAGAGTGCTTGGTGTTTTGGATTTCTGAGATTTTCAATTATTTGCATATAGTTATCTCAGAAATAGGTCCATACATATAATTTGTTTATGTTTCACATACACAGTGAAAAGGTCATCATACAACATTTGAAATGACTTTTGTGTATGAAAATTGTATCTGAGGGGCTGGTGAGATGGCTCAGTGGTCTAAAGCACCTACTTAGAACAAGCTTAGCAAAAAAAGCACAGGGACCACGGTTCAGTCCCCCAGCACCACATGCCAGCCAGCCCGCCCCCTGGCGGGCTGAGCTGCCCCCCCCACATTAATAAATAAAATTCAAAAAAAGAAAGAAAAGAAAATTGTATCTGAAAGTGCAGGATGGAATCTCCCAATCTCTCTTAAAATCTCGTGGGTTCTCTTGGTACCAGGGAGTTAAACTCAGGACCTTGTGCTTGGCAGGCCGGCCCTGTGCCGCTGAGCTACAGCCCCATCCCCTGAAGTTTCATGTTGAATGTGACAGTTACTGTCCCTCTGCCACACACAGAGGAGCTGGCGAGGTGCACACAGCCTTCTGGGAGCCATTCTTAGGTAAGGAGGCCCTGTGATAGCGGAGGCCCAGGTGACAACTCAATGGGCTGTTCAGTGTCCTTCAGGCCATCAGGAAGACGGTGTGCGACTGGGAGACCGGCCACGAGCCCTTCAACGACCCTGCCCTGCGAGGGGAGAAAGATCCCAAGAGCGGCTTCGACATTAAAGTGCCGCGCCGCGCCGTGGGACCCTCGAGCACACAGGTTCCCAGCCCTGCCCTTCTCCACGGCCAGGTCCACGTGGGTGGGACAGTAGGCCAGCGAGGTTGGGGCTGGGATTACTGGCCTGGGTGCAGTGCACCCTGCCTGAGCGACTCAAGTGTCACCGAGAGCGCCCCAGTCTCTGGTCTGTCCTCTCCCCTGCAGGAGTGAGTGGCCTCACTTCCTTCTCCGTCCCCACATGGTGACCTCACTTCCTCTTCAGTCCCCCAAGCGGTGGCTGTCTTAACTGTCCATGTGCACGCGTCTCTGATGAGTGTCTACACGTGTGACTGTAATTTGACGTTTAGCTCCCACACGGACACTCCTGCCGCCGAAGCTTGGGGCGCTGGCGGGGCTTTCCTGTGCCGTGGGGAGGCTGCTCCTCCTGCGCTCCTCCGGGTGTGCAGCCTCTCGAGTTCTCCTTGACGCTCCTACCTGGGGTGCCGTCCGCTCTGCTTCTCTGTGGGCCTTGGGACTCCTCATTCACCTCTGCAGAAAGGCCTCATGGCCTCTCCTTTCCGTCTTCTCACGAGTCACCAGCGAAGCATGCGGCTGGGTCTCTGGGGAGCCTGGGGCCAGGAGAAGGCACTTGGCCCGTCCCTGGGGAGCGGCCTCCAGGGCTGTGTGAGGAGCACCCGCCCTGTCCTTCTGTCCGTCCGTCCGTCCGTCGGACACTGTCCCGAGTCCGTGCCTCCGTCCTCGTGTCCCCACCCAGGCGTGTGCCCCTGTGACTAACGGCTCTCTCCCGCCTCTCCTCCCGCCTGTCTGTGTCTAGCTCTACCTGGTGCGCACCATGGCCGAGTCCTTGAGCTCTGCCGAGCTGCTGAGGCAGCTCAAGTCTCTGGGCATGGAAAGGCTCTTGCATGTGGTAAACGCGTTTCTGAGGCAGTCGTACACCTATCCGCCTCTTTTAACCTTTGGTGGTAAGACACTGTTCGTTTTTCTTGTTGATGTTCGTGGCACAGAGGTGAACTGCTCCTCTGCAGGTTGATCTTCCCCAAACAGCCGCAGCCCGGCCGCTTAGAGGAGTGCCAGGGCCGCCCCCTAGTGCCGGCCGCTTAGAGGAGTGCCAGGGCCGCTCCCTAGTGCCGGCCGCTTAGAGGAGTGCCAGGGCCGCCCCCTAGTGCCCGCCAAGGGTGGCGCAGGGCGCCGAGGCCCAGCCCGCCCCGCAGGGAGCCGTGGAGCAGCCCTCCTCTCGTGTTTCTGAGCTTGCGTAACTAATGTTCCATGTGTATCTTCTCCCCGCCAACGTTTCCCTGGATGACACAGCTTTACATGGTGAGAACCATGCTAGAGTCCCTCATTGCAGATAAAAGTGGCTCCAAGAAAACCTTGAGAAGTAGCCTTGAGGGGCCCACCATATTGGACATAGAAAAATTCCACCGCGAGTCGTTCTTCTACACTCACTTGATAAATTTCAGTGGTAAGAGACAGTGCTGACCAGAGTCGGGCCTGGCATGCTCTAACACTGCTAACATGCTAGAATGCTTCTGCCTGCCTGCCTGCCGCCCACCCAGGCAGTGACCGCCCTAACCTGTGGTGGCTGGGTGTCTCCGGGCTCCCTTCCCGCCCTCACTGCCCTTGGTCTCTGCCGTAGCCGGGGCTGCGGCCCAGCCGTGAGCACAGTCTTCCAACCCCTGCGGGTTGGTGGGGCTCGGAGCACAGCAAGCATGGGCCCTCACCTGGGTGCAGAGCCAGACACTGGCAAACAGTAGAAACGGCCTTGGGTGCAGTGACGTGGAAAGGTGGCTCGTGTCCTGAGCCAGCCAGCCCTGCTTGGTGCCGCCCAGCCGTCTGGCACAGCAGTGTGCCCTGCCTGTGGGGCGCTGCCTTTGGCCTCCCCTCCACCCTTCTGCTCAAGCAGGAGGCTTCTCTGACTCAGTGGGGTCCTGAATGTATTGGGAGAAAACGCTTTTGAGCTCAGCCCTGTGAAAGGGCAGATGCTTGTTTTTAAAGTCTGTCTAGTTTTTCATTAGCTAGACCTCCCTTGGTGTGCGGTCATGCCGAGTCCTGAACACTGGCTTTTATCCTAAGTAAAAGCAGGTTGAGTATCCCTTATCTGAAATGCTCCAGGGAAGAGTGTTTTGCATCATGGATTTTTCTTTGGGTTTTGGAGTACTTGGCGGTCCATGAGGATAGCTCTTGCTGGGGCATGGCTCCATGCAGAGCGCTGGCCCTGCACCCCAGCGTGGTGCTAGAGCCACAGTGAAGGACCTCAGGGTGGGACCCAAGTGTCGAAGGATGGCCATGGAGGCTTTCTGCAGCTCTGGTGAGCTGTAGTCTGCAGTGTGAAGTGCGCTGTGCCGTGCTTTTCCCAGCCACAGACCTGACCCACTGGCCGTCCCCGCCGCAGGCTGGTTTTGGATGTTTCAGCGCGGCCTCTCTGAGGTTCCACACACACTACGAACGTGGTCTGCGGTGACTTTGCCGTCACACACAGTGACCGCATTCCAGTTGGTGACAGATGTTTCTTTTCTGGGTTTTTTTTTTTTTTGAGACGAGGTCTCACTGTGCAGTTGAGGCTGGTTTTGAGCTCACCATATAGTGCAGGCAGGACTTGAACTTGCAGTGATTCTCCTGCCTCAGCCTTCTGAGCGCTGGGAGTAAGGCGTGCACCACCACACCTGGCAAGGACCAGTGTTTCTGACGGGGGTCCCCCAAGAGTGAATCACCTGTTGATGTCAGAGTTACTGAGGCTGTGTAAGCCGTCACCTGCCAGTGCATCCCCCGAGCGCAGGCATGTCAGCGAGCAGCTGGGCCACACCCCGGTGGGCGTGTGGCGTTGAGTCCTGCATCACGCTGCTCTGTAAGGGCTTCACACTTGGCGTGCTCTAGATTCTGATTTTCACATTAGGAATGCTCAACCTGTAGGCCTGTTTTTCCCTGGTCTGCCCGTGGGGGGCTGACAAGGCCCTTGGCAGGCAGGAGGGTGCTGGGTGCTCGCGTGTGCAGGGCCACACTGTGCCATGCTGCCCTGTCGCAGAGGCCCTGTGGCCCCACCACTCATGTCTGCCGTGTCTTGGGCTGAGGGTGGAGTTGCCGCTCCCCGCCCGCAGCCCGCTCACTCGCATTGTCTGCTAAGTCTTGGTCCACGTGTAGTCATTAACGTGATGCCCTTTGAATCCTCAAGAGACCCTGCAGCAGTGCTGCGACCTTTCGCAGCTGTGGTTCCGAGAGTTCTTCCTGGAGCTGACCATGGGCAGGAGGATCCAGTTCCCCATCGAGATGTCCATGCCCTGGATCCTGACCGACCACATCCTGGAGACCAAGGAGGCCTCGATGATGGAGTGCGTGTCTCGAAGCTGCCTCTGGCCAGGCTGTGGGGCTGACCCTGGGGGTGCTGGGGTGCAGGAGCCAGGGCCGCGGGCTGTACTGCACCTGAAATCGCATTCCCCAAGCAAGCTTCAGAGAGTGACACAAGCACCTGTTTAGGGGCTCAGACTGAAGCCAGGCAATTGGGCCGTGAAACTGGGCGAGTTCTTCCCTCGAGTGGTTGCTGGGTGAGGCTGTGTGGGTCCGCCTGGGCTGAAGAGCAGACCCAAGCCAAGCCTGGGCCTTGAGCACACTGGAGTTACAGGCCCAGATGCCCCAGGCAGCCTGCTTACTTGGGGCACAGCGTGGGACCCAGCAAAGCTGAGGAGGTGATAGCTATGGGTCAGCTTGGTGTTGGGGTCAGGATTCTGAGTCAGGGCTGTACAATCAGTCTTCAAATAGGGCTCACATCGACAGAGAGCCATTTAAAAAATGGGTTGTTTTTAAAAAACAGCCGGGGACTTTTTTTGTGGGCCAGTTCTTTCTAAGTTAGTCCTCAGAGGGGCCCTGCAGCCTGGAGCATTGGGCAGGCTCCTTGCCTTCCACTTGGTGCTGTGCTGTGGCAGCGTGAGGCACTTGGGTCCCCCCCCCACAGATGGCTGTCCCATGTGGTCCCACCTGCCCTCATGGGCTCTGGCTGCTGGCCACTGCCAGCCCAGGCACAGGGGCATCTGGCCGTGGGCCCAGTACAGTAAAGACTGTCATCCAGTCTTCTTAAGTCCAACGGTTCATTTTTTTTTTTTTTTTAATTTTTTTTGTGTGTGTGTGTGTGTGTGTGTGTGTGTGTGTGTGGCCAGCTCAGCCCACTAGGGGGCGGGGCTGGCTGGCATGTGGTGCTGGGGGATTGAACCCCGGTCCCTGTACTTTGCTAAGCTTGTTCTAAGTAGGTGCTTTAGACCACTGAGCCATCTCACCAGCCCCCGACGGTTCATTATTGAAATAAGAAAATAACTTATTTTTTCAAATGCACCTTTTAAAATTGGCGCATGGCAGTTGTACACATTTATGGCCATGACAGCACAGGGGTGTTGTGCAGAGATTGAACCAGGTGAAGGCCATGCTCCCCGCCACTCCCCTCGTTTCCTTGTGAGGCCGTGGCGCGCCTCGTCTGGCCGCTGTGGGGTCTCTGCTGTCCTTAGCTGGATTGGTTGGTTTTCCTGGGGGTTCTTTGCAGTGTAGGTTCAGTCCAGGGTATGGTGTATGTGCCACCCCACTCCTCCAGCTATCAAAATAATCCATTCCATTATTGTTAATGAGGCCATTCTAGGGTATGACAGATGCTCCAAGTTGATTTTTGTTGTTCAGAATATGCTGCATACTTGTAGAGGGTGGCCTGTGGCTGGTGGGGATTGGCTCCAGAAGGCCCAGTGGGCCCTGAGGTGCGATGTGGTCTTTCCTCGCCTGAGGCCCATCTCCCTGGGCTGTGGGGCCGGGAGTGACCACCCGCCGCCCTCCGCAGGTATGTGCTCTACTCCCTGGACCTGTACAACGACAGCGCCCACTACGCGCTCACGCGCTTCAATAAGCAGTTTCTCTATGACGAGATCGAGGCAGAGGTGAGGCTTACGCTTCCGTGTCTGTGCGTATTAAGAAAGTTAAACCCCTTTTAAACCGTGAAACGGGCCTCTCCAGGTGGCTGCTTCCAGCCGCCCCCCACGTGATTGCAGTGTGCACCTGTCACCAGAGCACAGCAGCTTCTGTGCCTGCCGTCGCTGGCCTGGGAGCGCGAGCCTTGCTCCAAGCCAAGCACTGTGGTTACTGCAAATAGTACTTGGCTGAGCTCCCGTCACAGACATTTCTGTCTGCACCTGACACTTCTGCAGGACAGAGTCCCGCAGGGCGTCACCAGGTAGGGATGCACTCGGCTCAGAGACCAGTCTCACTCTAGCTTACGCCTCACGACCCCTTGGCCTGCACAAATTGCTTCACACATCTGGACCTCCCCTGCCTGCTTATCCAAGTTGCTGTGGCTGCCGCTGGTGCAGGGCGGGCCAGGGCTAAATCCTGTGCACGGTCAGCTCCACTAGCCAGGCTGCAGGTCTGTGGCCCGTGGGTCCCCAGCGTGGTTTCAGTGGCAGGTGTTGGCTAGCCTTCTCTGAAGCAAAGTATGAATTTTGGGTATCTCTGGGATGACTTTGTGCATAGTGCCACCAGCCCAGTTTCAGGGGAAACCTGGCAGTGCCCTCAGACAGTGTCTTCTGAAAAACACTGCCCCGGCAGGTGCCACCCCAGCAGGGACCCCAGTGACAGTGCCAGTTTAAAGCGTGTGGGTGGGTGTGGGGCCGGGGAGATGGCTCAGTGGAATGAGTACTTCCCTGGCAAGCACAAGGGCCTCAGTTCAATCCCTGGTTCCTGCCAAAAAATAAATAAATAAAAAATAAAGCATGGGGGTGAAGAGAGACTCCTTTGTAGCTCTGCATGTATGAGGCAGGATGTCCTGGTCTCAACAGAGAGTTCTAGCATAATCTCCTACAGGAAAAGGACAGTGGTGACATTTGGTCATGCCTCAATTTATTTAATGTGCTAATATTGGCCAAAAAATTTATTGTACTTTCTCTTTTCTAAATTGTTTGTTTGTTTGTTTATTTATTTATTTATTTATTTAATTGGTGCAGGGTTTCGCTATGCAGCTCAGACTGGTAGTGATCCTTCTGTTGTGGGCTCCCCAGCGCTGGGATTACAGGTGTGTGCCACCACTCCAGGAAATGGTTCCTGGGCTGGCACAGCTTGTGGTGCCAGGGATCAAACCCAGGTCCTTGTGCTTGCCAGGCAGGCAGGCACTTAGACCGCCGAGCTATCTCCCTAGCTAGCCTTCTCTTTCCTAATTCAGTAGAAATTCATTACCTGAAAAGGTCTTGTCCTTGTGTCGTTTGGCATTGCTTCAGGGACTTGAAGTCTTCTGCGTGCTTCCTTCCCCTTAGGTGAATCTGTGTTTTGACCAATTTGTCTACAAGCTGGCGGACCAGATATTTGCCTACTACAAGGTCATGGCAGGAAGGTACGTGTTTGGTTTGTGACTCCGATACTAAATCTTGTGTAATTTTGGTCTGAAATTTCCATGAAAATTCAGTGTGTGAAAAATACCCTGTCCTTTTCTATACTAGTTTGCTTCTTGATAAACGGTTACGGTCGGAATGTAAGAATCAGGGAGCCACCATCCACCTGCCACCATCCAACCGCTATGAGACGCTGCTGAAGCAGAGGCA